TGAAACAGAAATAGTTTACATAGAAAAATTTTATGGAAGGGCATAATAAAAATAAGATAAAAATATCAATAAGATAGAGATATAAAGAAAATCAAAACAGTCAAAAGTTGGTACTTCTATAATAAAACTGATAAACCTCTAGCAAGAGTATTACAGAAGAAAAAAAAATCCAAATTATCAACCTCAGAAATAAAAGAATATTAAAACATAAGTTATGGAAAAACACCCATAATTATAGCATAAATAAAATAAGATAAATATTTGAGCAAACGTAAAAAAGAGTAAATACGATAGCAGGTACCTATATACTATATATATATATATGTATATATGTGTGTGTGTATACACACACACACACACACACACACACACACACACACACACACACACGCACTTAGCTTAGACTGAAGTGGATCACTTCTTTAGCTCTTCCATGCTTTTCTTTCCCCCATGCTACTTCACATGAAGAGGATTGGTGGTTTTCTAAATGCCTAATCTTGAAAGAACCACCTGAGTGTCCCATCGCTTCTGGAAACATAAGATTGCTATTTGGAAGCTGAGGTTTCAATTATTTTCTATATTTTGTTGAGTAGGACTTCTCAACTCTTGGAGAAAGAATTTCTTAGGTTCAGCTGCTCTCAAATGTGATGCCAGAAGCCACATTTTCCACCAATAACCATGACATTCTAATAAATAACCTCTCTCACTCCAAAACATACATGGATCAACAAAGAACACCTCTCCCAGCAATGCTCTTTTTCATTAAGTACCAAACTACACATGAGTCTACTAAACAATCAGCTAGTACAAATGCTATAAGTCTTTTCAGTGCAGTTAAATGAGGCATTTCTTTTTGACTCAAGAATTAAAGAAACATTTATCCGGAATCCGTCATGATGTAATTACGTCCATTTGTTACATTGTGAAATGTTCTATATCTTTGAACATTACAGGCACAATTATGTAAAATTATGCAGGAAAATATACAGAAAGTAAATAAAGAAAACCATTATTAATTCATAGGTTTATCACAATGCTGAAACTAAACTATTTTTCTTTTCACTTGTCCGTATTTTGTTTTTCCTATGACTATATAGTATTCTAAATTTAGAAAAGACACATTTTAAAATTTTTTAAATATTTTTCTGAATGTTCCATTAACCTTCTCATCTCGATTTCCATTTTTGTGCTTTCAGAAATACTACAAATTCTGAGAAGACATAGGACTAAGAAATTAAGCCTACTTTCCTCTTAAGAGATGTAAATAATTTGCTAAATTATAAAATTCTGTATAAAGGCTAGCCATTATTATTATAGGTAAGGGTTAAAAAATGTCATTGACTGGTATAGGCTAGGTGCTATGCAAAGCATCTTGCATAAATTATCTCATTTTTTACTTTTTAAAAGAGTTATATGTGGTTGAAATTTTCTTCTATTTTACAGATAGGAAAATTAGACATGGATAGGATAAGTCTTGTACTCAGGACATACAATTAGTGAGGAGCAGCCCAGTAGATACAATTCATTTGCCTGGCCTCAAGTATTGATCTTGACCTTGGCCCAACATTACTTCCCACATTAAAACTTACCAAGGTAGTAACCATGATCCTTCTTTAACATCCATCTTTCAACAAAGGCCTTAAGAAGACTTTCTCATCCCAATTTATGGACTTATAGAGGCATAGTTAGTAGATTCAAAAACACTTGGGGATTTGAAATATGCCAACTTCTATCTCTAATAATTTCACATTTCCTCTTTCAAGAGAATTTAGAATTACAAATCCACTTTTATTTACTTTGCTAAATCAGTAACATTAGTATCCTTATCCATTTCTAATCGGCCCAAAATTCACTAGTAACCATATTGTATCATAAATTGAATGCTTATTATTTGTAATCCACCTTAATATTTAATCTCAAATTAATCCCATGAGATGAGTACATTATTCTCAATTAATAGAAAGCTCGAGGCTTACAATGGCTTATTTCATTTGCCCAGGTTGGTGTAACTAGTACATGATGTAGCTAAAAGCCGGTTTCTGCTCTTTCAGTTCCACAGTGTCTTTGCCTAATTTAAGAGCTCTCCAAAAGTCACAAGTCTCTGGTAAGTATTGGACCTTGTTCACTTTATGCAGAATAATAATGCTGTATTTCAGATTATATTATAATGAGAGTTTTCTGGTAATGCAAGTACATGAAGACCAGAATTTTATCTTAAATAGTAAACGATAAAATCTGAGGCATTGAGTATTGAAGGGATCATTGGAGAGTATCTGATACACTCCTTTTGTTTTGCATTAGAAGAAACTGAGACCCAGAGAAGTAAACATTTCTAAAATTACACATTCAGATGGTGACGGATTTAGGATAAAAATTTCAGTTTCCGTGTCCCAATCATTTTATCTTTCTGTTACATGGAATAGCTGATAATCTCCCTTGTTACCAAGTAATTTGAACAAAAGACATTGTTTTATTTGTCTAATTAATCTATATGATTATTTCAATGAACCTCGTTGTTTTCCAAGTGAGACCTGCCTTAGGAAATAAAGATGTTGAGAGATTATAATTAAAGGTATCCTTTGACTTTGTCCTATAGAATTTTCATATACGAAGGCATCACTAAATGAAAAGATTAGTGATACAGGAATTTTTTAAGATCCCATTTTCCAAACAGATTTAGCCTGTCTTTCATTTTATTCCCAAGCCAAACAAGTAAATTAAATAGAAATGTGATAAGATACTCTCTTTGCATCTCTCCAATCTCTTTGGTAGACCAAGGAGATGGTGCCCCTTTTGCTTACTGTTTTAGAAAGGAAGATTAAAAGAAATTACATCTACTCAGTCCTTCCTACCATGGTGACATTACTCCCGTGATCAGAGACCCACTATGGAAATGGCTGCTTCCTATAGAATACATTTACTCTCACTATACAGTAACAAACAAAATTGGCCCCCTTTGACAGCTTTGGGCCAATAGTTGTTCACCTTCAGTCTGCTTTCTGACCAGTGGACCAAAGTGACATTTTGCCACCTGGGAATGATTGTTAGCTTAGAATGTATTTCCAGCAATCTCCAGAAAGATTAAAGAGTTTCTCTATGCCCAGAGCACAGTTCCCCTGGTAAACAGTCTCAGAGCCCTCAGAGAAGGGTTCGAATGAAGATTGACACCAACGTTTTTGTCGTAACATCACAGAGTTCTCATTCAAGGATACCTGACAAATCCTTCATTCTAAAACTCTGGATGTGGAATCTATTCACATGTGGTGACTGGATGAGGAGCCGTGATTTTCCTGATCTGAAATCTGGTGATTCAATTCAGATTCAATAATTTTTATCATCATCATCATCATCAATCATCATCATATCATACTACTAGTTTGCTTGGGCTGCCATTACAAAATACCACAGACTGGGTGGCTCAAAAAACATACATTTATTTTCTCACAGTTCTGGATCCTAGAAGTTCAAGATCAAAATGACAATAAATGAGCATGGTGAGGCCTCTCTACCTGGCTTGCAAACTCTGCCTTTTCACTCTGTCCTCACATGACCTTTCCTCTGTGCACACATAGAGAGCTCTGGTATCCCTATAAGAACACTAGTTCTATTGCATTAGGGAGTGCCAGCTAGTCCCGTTCCCACCTTTATCATCTCAAGGAGTGCCAGCTAGTCCCGTTCCCACTGTTCAAGACTTGCAAGCCTACGTACCAGATATGTGAGTGAAGAAACTTTTTAGATGACTTCAGCCTCAGCCACTTTCTGACCACAGGCTCATGAGAGATGCTGAACCAGAAATACTCAGCAGAAGTGCTCAAATTCCTGGTCCACTGAAACCACCTGAAATAATAAAGTGATTGTTGGTCTTTTAAATTGAGGGGCGATTTTTGTATACTATAATAGTATCTGAAACACTGCAGTGTTTTTATTTCATCCACTGAAGAATAAATAAAACTTTGTGCCTGGCATTCATTCAATATGCATTAAATAAATAAAGTCATTAATGTTGTTAAATACACTAAGTAAATCCAATTATAAATTGAAAAATGTATGAAGGCAAAAAAATACCAAGTTGATACTATAGTATCTATGTTGTAGGCTGACCTCTCAACAAGGAAACATGTAATGCCAGAGCCTTAAAAAAATGATCTTTGTAATACAGTATTTGATCCCCAGAACTTCTACAGAGCAATTGTAAACACAGAAGTTACCTTAAATTATCACTTATGTCAAGAATCATAGTTCACAGAGAATCAGAAAGGCATTTGTCAAGTAAAACAAAATGATCTGTTCCCAAAACATTTAACATTTATTGCATGTATAAAAAGCATAACTCAAGAGTTAATTTAATGTAGGCAGACTCTGGGGCTCTACTGATATGAGTGACTTAAATATGTATTTCAACCACTGAAAGAGACCATTGGATTTAGATGTACCAAATGCGTTGAACTATTTAAATTTTCAGTCCAAAACTTGATCAGAATATACAAAATTGCCTATAGGGTACCATCACAGTAAGAAGTTAGTAATTCATTTCTCATAGATTCATCCTCAGTTACAACACATGCTGTGATTTTTTTACATTAATTTATTTAACAAAGATTTTGTTTTTACTGTTAGATTAGCAATTTTTTTAATAATCTGGATTGTTAATTTTAAAATATTAAACTCTTGGATTTAAGGGATGAAGTTTTAAGAGGTCACATTTCTCTGCAACAGGGAGGTACCATACTCCCCTAACAGGAACCTGAAATAAAATCAAAAAAAAGAAAAAAAGTCCACTGAAGAATCTTAACACAGTATGATTATCTATATAAGAGATTAAATCTATGCGTTTCTCTTTTTCTCAAAGAGCTCTAACATATTCCATTTAGATAAAGATTAATACATATGGCCACTTCAGAGTAATGAGGCTAAATAACTCAAAGGAAATGATTTTTAAATGTAATCACTGATAGTGAAATTGCTCCTTGATTCACTGAAAAAAATAAATATCATGTTTGTCACAAGGGATGCAGCCCTCTTCCAGCTGAGACCACATATTTACTGCAAAGCCTCCTCATGGCATTTTTCATTTCTGCATTTCTCAGGGTGTAGATTAAGGGGTTCAACATAGGAATAATGAAAGTTAAAACTACAGTCACGAATTTATCTGAGGGAAAGGTGAAATTAGGCCTTGCATACAGGAAGATACAAGGAACAAAGAATAAAATGACCACAGCACATGTGTAGAAGGCTTTGTATTTCCCTTCCAAATCATGAGTCTTAAGGGAGCATAATATGACCCCATAGGAAACTAGGAGAATGAAGAAGACGACAGTGCAAACTGCCCCTCCATTAGCTACCATAGAAAGTCTAATGAGGTAGGTGTTGGTGCAAGCAAGTTTCAATAACGGGTATGTGTCACATGCGAAGTTGTCAGTGACATCGGGGCCACAGAAAGGGAGCTGATAAATAAAGAGAAATTGAGTCAGTGAATGCAGAAAACCTCCAGTCCAGGCCACGAGCAGCATGAGAACACAAACCCGCCGATTCATGATGATCAAATAATGAAGAGGTTTACAGATGGCTACATACCGGTCATAAGCCATCACCACCAGAAGAATGACTTCAGCACCAGCAAAGAAATGACCTATGAAGACTTGAGTCATACAAGCATGGAAGGAAATAGTCTTTTTCTCATAGAGCAAGTCTACAATCATTTGGGGAGCAA